TAAAGATGTTTTTTTTTNTTTTTTTTTCAGATAAAACCGGTTGTGTGACATACGAACAAACAAGCAAACATACATACATGCATACACACACACAAACAGACACACCAAACTTTTGTATTATATATAGTAAGGATTGCTTAGCATCATACGTTCCTTTATACAAGGCTGAGCTCACGATGGCAACATTTCCATCTACTTATATTCTATGTGCGACAAAAGAGCCGCTGCATATAATTGCGCCGTAGAGACTAACCAGCTGGCAGACTGGGAGCTCTATAAGGATATCAACAAGAAATTTGAAAACAAGTTATACAAGTACAACCGCCTGGTCGAAAGAAAGGCCATAGGAAGCAGTAGTAAGGCCGCTCTGTTTAAGCACAAAAACACTAGGATTTGGAAAATCGGAGTTCTCGCCGCATCAATGAAATCAGATGGTACTACAGTACGTTTCATAATTATAAGGTCACCCTCCATTTTTGCGATTCTGAAAATGCAGCCAGAATGGAATTTTTTGGCATACACTGGCAGATTCCTCATCACAATGTACCTCCGAGTTCAAATTTTAGTCGCAACACCCTTCATCTCAACTCTTTTATGAATTTTTTAAAGATAGCGTTGGTTTTTACAGAGTTTCATAATTATAATGTCACCCTGAGAAAATGAGTGGGTCATCAATGTTGATGGCATATGCACAACAGTTAATAATCTACAGCTCCTCCCTGTTCAAGAGCAACGTCAAAGAGGCTGCGCGGCATACTAGAAACTAGGTTTCGAAGATGTTCCTCATCGATTGCTCTCCATGCTTCGATAATCGCCCACACCAGCTCTGTAACTGACGATTATTCGCATAAACCTGTCTGACTATTATGCTCCAGATATTTTCCATCGGATGGAGCACGGGACTGCAGGCTGGCCATGGCAGAACGTCCATGTTTTGGCATTGCAGCCACTCATTTGTTGCACGGCTAACGTGCATGGAGGCGTTGTTTTGTTCAAAGACTTAGTTGAGGTGACGGGTACTTAGAAAATGTACCAGACGATGCTCCAAGACTTTTTGGTAATCCTTGGAATCCATTCTGCAGCTCACTAAGGCTAGATCCAACGCGACATGATTGCAAAATGCACCCCACATCATAAGATTTCCTCCACCGAAATTGAGACGGCTGAAGTAGACTAGTTCTTTCCTCAAGTCGAACCAGTAGTACTCGTTCCCGCCAGGACCGTCCAAGTTGAATTTCCTTTCATGCGAAAAGACAAACAGAATGGAAAGACCTGCCTTTGCCCAATCTCTCCCTAGACTCATCTTTACAAATTCGAGTCGAGCCTCTTTGTGACGATTGACTCGAATTTGTAAAGATGAGTCTAGGGAGAGACTGGGCAAGGGGGCTGAGCCTAGTGGTGTTTTCGCATCTTCTCACTGCTCTCCAGACTGTAGTTTTACACAAAGAGGTTTACTTCCGATCAGACTGTTCAAGGAGGACGTACTGTTAGAAACAGCCCTCAGAATCTTCCGCTCGTCACGGGCAGTAACCTTGCGTGGGTGTTCACAGCTGGTGTTACATCTAGCGACATCGGGGCTCTCCAGAAATCTTTGGATGGAGCAGACGGATCTTACCTTTTGCCTGGAAATAGCTTACTTACTGAGCCAAGCTTCATGATGAACTCGAATTTGAGCCGTCTAATTAAAGGAAAGCAGACGACCACGAGCCATGTTGACAGTCAGGTTTAGAAATGCATTTGCTACACATGTTTACCTTTATAAGTATCTTTAAACACGAAATTTCCTCTCTTCCATAAATAATTGTTTACCTCTCAGGGTGACCTTATAATTAAGAAACGGTGCAAAAACCGATGAACTGTTCTAAAAAAGCTTTAAAAAATGCAGCTGCTACCAAAAAACGGATACCTAGTTATTCTTGCTGGTAGATAAGTTCATGATGCTAGAAAAAATGCTGAGCGATTGTTCCTTTTAGAAGTGCAAAGTTCTAGGGTGACCTTTTAATCATGAAACGCACTGTACAATACTCATCACAGATTAATAAAAGGCTGAATTACTGGCTGAAACTCTTGAGCAAGTTAATGTTTAGAAATTGTATGGATTTTATCCACAATTGGCGTACTCTTTGTGGTTTCATGAGCATGAACTGGATCGCATTAGTTCAATTTTAGAATGCTATGGTCATTCAAGATTAGATCTATACCGGCGTATGTGTTACCAGATGATGATCTCACATCCATATTCCAAATCTGCGAAAGGATTGGTAAAGTGACGAAGACTTCCTTCGGTGAGGCATGGGATTCCGTCAAGCATTCTTTATAAGCATGACTAGCCTCCAGGCCCGTTGTGAGGCGATGGCGCAACAAGTGACGAGATTGACCCAAAGGCGTGATTGTTCGCATGCCATGTGCATTCACCTGATTTACACTTATATGAGATGTGTTTTGAAGCCTTTTGCATAAGCGTTCTATATGTTCTCCTACCTGCAGCCTTAGTTAGCCAAAAAAAATTTGGGATAGTTTTCAGCTACGTGGGTTCCCTTTTATATTTCGGGATTGGAGAACAAAAATGAACATTAATCGTTGAAAAATGCTTTATTGTTTTCCAAAATATTCCCTGGTAAGATCTATACACTTTTGCACGCGTTTGAACAAACTGTCGGAGCACCTTTGCCACTCTGATTGAGGTATCTCCAGAACATGCATTCTGAACGCATAAACGCTTGTTCAGGTGTCGAAAAAAGTTGACCTCTCATTTTATTTTTCACGTAGGGAATAAAAAAAGTCATTAGGTGCCGAGCCAGGACTGTATGGCGAATTACCCATCAAATCGATGTTTTGAGTGCTCAAAAATGCAGTTATTTGAGCCAATGTATGAGAGCTCACATTGTTGTAGTGAAGAGTTTTTTCCAACAAATTAGACTCGGATAAATTCACCATACCATCGAAGAACATTGGACCTTAATCGCCAAAAATTGAACTAAGTTCATCAATGACTCGACGTCGAAAGTTGTAAAAAATGATCGCACGAAAATGTTCACGATTCGATTCCATTTTTTGGCCTAAATGAGCTTTTTAAGTTAGGTTTTTCTGGGTACGTGCANCTCGAAAAGGTCAAACTTTACGATTGAGCTGTCAGTTGCCAGACTGCAACATTAGGGTTGCCCAATCCCGAAATGTAAAAGGCAACCCTCGTAAAGGTCAGCCCTGACCTTTTCTGACCCTAACAGAAATGCTCCTCCACACAGAGATGGAATGCGAAATTACAAAATCTGGGGAAGCTTCCTTCACTATGGATAGAAAGGTTGAAATGGCCTATCACATCGGGGTACATCTTTTTGGATGAAACTGCTTCCCATTTTTCGAAGCGCTGATGTAATAATTGACAGGCACTTCATGACCACACACTTTAAGGACGAAGCTCGAGGCAGAATAGTTTTCCTTGTGAGCATAATGGGGAAAACTCTATTTCGCTCATCACTACGGCCGTTTCCGTAGAGATGAAATCATGAGCAATATTATATGTAGAGGGGTCGGTATGGCTCAAATGAATCCCAATCCCTTGCGAGTCACTCTCGAGACGTGCTGAGGCCGCCGTCGCCGGTACCATCAGAAGGCTGAAGAATGTCAATTTCGATCTCCACAAAATTGTTACCAAAGCCATCGCAGCTAGCATGCCAAACTAGCGGGAAGAGAATCTGCAACTTCGAGAGAGACTCGTTTCAACCCAATGTAGTCAAAATTCAAAAGGTTTGCCTGAGTTGGACATATCCATTATTAGTGGGCATGTTTTGCTTGGAACTTGCGTGATGCCGCAATGTTCAGATTTCTTCTCAATTCATATAACACATTTGCGAGTTTAAAGTTCTCTGATAGAGCGTCTGGTCCTACTCTTCTCTTGCTAACTTGACATGCTAGAAACGATGGCTTTGGTCACAACTTCGTGGAGGCCGAAACTGACCGTCCTTAGTCTTCTGAAGGTACCAGCGACGGCGGCCTCAGCACATCTCGAAAGAGACCAACAAGGAATTAGAAATTTTCATGCGACCCATCCCGACCCCTCTAATAATATTGCTCATGATTTCATCTGGACGGAAGCGGCCGTAGGGATCAGCGAAATAGACTTTCCCCATTATGTTCACGAGGAAAACTATTCTGCCTCAAGCTTCGTCCTTAATGTGTGTGGTCATGAAGTGCCTGTCAATTATTACATCAGCGCTTCGAAAAATGGGAAGCAGTTTCATCCAAAAAGATGTACCCCGGTGTGATAGGTCGTTTCAACCCTACTATCCATAGTGAAAGAAACATCCCCAGATCTTGTAATTCCGCATTCCATGCTCTGTGTAGAGGAGCATTTCTGTTGGGGTAGAAAAGGTCAGGGCTGACTTTCATCTGAAAACTATTTCCATTTCTTCGGCAAGGCTGCAGGTAGAGGCGATATGGAACGCTTATGCAAAAGGCTTCAAAACACATCTCATAAGTGTAAAGCAGGTGAATGCACATGGCATGCGAACAATCACGCGTTTGGGTCAATCTCGTCACCTGTTGCGCCATCGCTTCACAACGGGATTTGAGGCTAGTCGTGCTTATGAAGAATGCTTGACGGAATCCCATGCCTCACAGAAGAACGTGTTCGTCACTTAACCAATCCTTCCGCAGATTTGGAATATGGATGTGAGATCATCATCTGGTAACACATGCACCGGTATAGATCTGATCTTGAATGACTTTGACACTCCGCCACTGCTAAAATAGGACACGCAGAAAAGACGCAAATTTATAGATGGCTAAGAAACAGAAATAGGAAAGAGAAAGAAGAAAACTGAGACCAGGAGAGACGTCATGCGAGATATGCGCCAGAATTCGCAACATTTGAGTCAAGTGAAAACTACTACGATAATCACTTCACGTTGAAAGGGAACTCAAAGATAGGACAAAATTACAAAGATGCTCAGGATGACCGAATTTGTACGAACGGTGGTAGCGAGGGTTAAATTAACAGATTAAGAAACTGTTTTCGGAGTTTGGACATTCCGATTTTGTCCAGAGCATACATTTTGACTAACGACGAAAAAATAAAAAGGGACCTGTTTGAAAAAAGAGAGGGATTCATTCAACGGAAAACGACGTTTGTCCATGTCTTCACCAGACTTATTACCATGTTTGATGGACCCAATGAGATTGTGACAGGCAATCCAGAACTGCTTTGCACGACGGTTCTCCATATCCTATAAGAAGAATGTTTTGGGGGAAATGTGGATAAGTCAACTCACACCATAGTCGAATCGCAATAAACTCTTACTAAAGCGACTCTACTATCTAGCGCAGACTCAATCCCTGCTAAGCGACTCAATGCTACACCGACTTCACGACTATGACGATCACGCTCAAGCCTTGAAGCCTGCAAAAAATCCATGATAACATTATAGAAATGAAGGCAATACAGAATGAAATATTTTATAGAACAACACGCCTCTTCAATTTTTTGATTATGCTCAATTTCGAAAAGTTGACGCTGCGTACGAATAATCTGCTCCAAATGTTCCGAATGTGCCGCTGCAGATCTTCGTAATTGTTCCTCTAACTCATTTTGCCACAAAGACCGCTTTTGCAAAACCTGAAAGAAAAAAAACTACATACTCTTCACTGCGGCACATAAAAACAGTCGACACTATGATCAATTGAGGAAAATAGATATGGATAGACGAAAACTCACAGCTCTTTCTATTTCCACGTCTTGTTGCTGCTGAATTCGTTGTAATTCATTTTCAAGACGTTCAGCAGCGATGCGTTCATCTGCTTCCCGTTGATCAGCGATAGCACGTGCAATATGTTGCTCCTCACGAACCTGCTCAACAAGGAAGTCAGGACGGGCATTGAAGTCGTCACTTTTTCCATCCTCCCTACACCATCCCCAGCCTCAAATCACTAAACTACACTAAAAACTCACTGTGCACTTGGTGAGTACAAGTGCCAAAAACATCAGCCAAACCATTTATTACTGGTTCAGCATGTACGCATTTACATAGTTTGGGTACACATGCATACATACTACTGTATGCAGTGCACTGAGTGTGTCTATTGGCTTGCCGATAAGTGCGTGTGTTTGACCGGAAATTCATAATTCCTGGACCTAAAGCTCTCAAATTTGGAAGGATTACGGGTGGCAGGTTGGGGAGAGTTATGGTGGGTAGCTGGACTGGACTTCGTCTACAGGGGGCGGGGCGTGCGCAAAAACTGTTAGTTAAGGCCTGGAGCGTTCAAATTGGGTAGGGGTACAGGGTATAGGATGGGTGCAAATGGTAGGTAGCAGGACAAGGGGCGGGGCGTGGCAGGGATTCTTAATTGGGTGACTGCGTTCAAAATTGATGAGAGAGCAGGCGGCAGGATTAAGATACTGATGGAAGTGGCAGGAAGTAATCGAGACGAACTCCACCCAAGGAATAGGGTGAGATGGGTGGAAGGGGAGAGGGTATGTGCAAAACGAGCGCAGTATGAGCAGACATACAAAGTCAAGTAGGAATAAGCATGGGGATGAACCAAGTTACTTAAACACGCAAGACTTGAGCAGGACTCTGGCGGGCGGGTGCACAGAAGTATGTTGGAGTATGTTATATGTGTGTCTGGCCGGAAGTCAATACAGCTGTTATTCTGGACCGAAGGGTCCAAATCTGAAGAATATGTGGGCTTTGGGCCAGCTCCAACACGAGAAAGAGAACAGAGATAAGAAATCAAAGAAATCAGGTTGCTCTATAATAAAAAGGTCTTAATTGAGTAGTTAAAGGGTATTGAAAAACAAAATAAGACAAAATGCTTCTCTTGTCGCTCTGTGGTCGAATTGATCTCTGAAATGCAAACAAAAGCTTTCTTTTCTACAAAATCAAATATGCTCTGCAATATAAGGTAAAACAGCGGTTGAAAATACATACTTTCAAAAAAAAAAAGAATATCAGGAAGACATGGATACTCTTTATATTCAACCAATATCTTTGGGTCCCAGACATTGGAATTTCGTAAGTTCCCATATCAAAATACGAAACACCGGTAGCGCACAACAGTTCCGTTATATAAACTGCCCACTCTAATGGGGTATAAAATCCGATTCCTCGGCCTTCGGTCCCTCAGCCTTAAATCTTTCGGTCTCTGATTCTTTAACTTTTTGGGTTTTCGCCCCCTCAACGACTAATATCCAACAATCACAGACAAGCGGCCTCAATACTGATTTTGTCATTCGGGCATTCTAAGGTAGCAGAATGGACAATTATTCGCCTCGTTTCTAGAATTCAGCAGCTCTCTTTCCATGCATTAGAGAACTGATTCCAGCGTAGAAGGTGCAAGTGGACAAAGTCAAAACGTTCGAACGAACTTGAAATGATATATCACATTACGTATCAATACATCGCTTGATTTTAGCAACCTCTCTTAACGTCTCACCCGAAGCTGCCATATTTGGGGCTCACTCAGATCCGAGAGAATGACGTGCTTACATCACTGTTCCCAGCATATGTCACCCACGAGTAGTACGAAAAGCTCCAACCTGGGAGATTGGTTATAAATAGGATAGTTAACCATGCAGTCCTGGTGTGGGCAAGGGCATAATTTATCCGCGACCTAGACCGGCTCTCAAGCGCACTTCCCAGTCACTCAAAGGCAAGCTTTTCGCATATCTGGCACATGTGTGCACGACTACCCCGACAAACAGACGGAATCTGAAAATGAACTCAAACAAAAACAGGGACTCCGTCCTGTGAAACCACTTCAATCTCTAGGCAAGGATCGATTATTCTTGATTGGCGATTCTTGCCTTACCCGTCAACTGCAGCAGTGCCATAAGCTCTCCATCGAACCAGCTAGAGATTCTCTACCGGAAAAGAAAGTCCGCTGAAGGAGATCTGTGGAATCAACAGTCCACTAGTCCCGCTCACTAGCTTTTCGCAATATATGTAAACAGGTTTTACAGCATACGACATGCAGTCTTCACGCCAAAAAGAAAGAAGCACCGTAGGTAAAGATACCTGCTGCTCCAACAACTGTCTTCTCAAGTTATCCACCTTCAAGTGAGCATGAGCAATCAAAGCGTTCAATTCCTCTGGCTCCATACTTTTATTCTGAAAGATAACCACTGAAATCACTTTTGGAGTAGCGCCATTTTATAGCTATATGAGTCATATAACCGGAGGTGTGAGGAATTAGGAATTGAAATATGTATACCCTCAGGTGAAGCTATATGAAAATATCAAAGAAAGAGCAAATATGTTCGCTGTTTAGACAGGAATGGAACGTGGAAATTTCGAGTCACTTTTTCCGATCCCTCAGTCCAATCCCCTTCTGCCAAATTGCCTGGAAGGAAGGTAGTGGCCGAAGGGAGTGTCCTCGATTAACTGCTTGATTGGAGTTTCTTGTATTTGATGGGCTTGCAATCCCCAAACAATACTATACACAAAGTGGGCCGAGAAAAAAATACATAGTTTATTTTCTGAAAACTACCAATAAATTCAATACTTTACTTGAAAATCACACTTTTTGTGCATTTTCGAAAATAAACAGTGCTTTTATATAAACTGCCTCCAGTATTGTCTCGCTTTGTATTATTGAGAGCGTGAACACGTCCATAGTTCCGAAATAGTTGTTCGTAACAACTTTTTTGGGAACTCGAACTCTTTTTAAACACATTCCTTGACTTTTCTTCGTATTCCTTTACGGCTTTTTTTTGAGTACCAAACTAGTGGGTGATTCTTTCTGATAAGCCATTAGTCTAATGTACGTTCCATTTCCAATTATGGCAAAAGAGATTTATTCCTTTATTCACATTAATCGCATGACACGGCAGATACAGCTACTGGATTATTCCTTGGGGGATGTCTCCCGGTGTAGATCTCAGTCCCCCATGTGTAACACCTTCAAAACAGCTTCATTCAATATTTCTTATTCTCAGAAGGGACGTATTGCTTGGAAATATTCTGCCACGGAATGGACTAATGACCTATCAATGGGAACTTATTTTTCAGGATGGCAGACTTTCTTACAGTCCGCATAAGAAGATCTAGAAAGCTAGTAATCTTGCAAAGTCTGTTGCCATCTGCGGTGGTACCGAGAAAGGCGTTCTCGTTCGGAATATTCAAAACCCCCGAGAGTCCATACATGAGGCGTTGCGCTGCCTATGAGTGCGGCGGGACTCTACCCACTGACGACGTTAACTGATATTTTCCAAATTGGAGTCCTCCTGAGCTCCCCTAACCGACCTCGAGAGTTTCAAATATATATATATATATATATATATATATATATATATATATATATATATATATA